TGTGGTAAATTTATGTAAACATTTGACTTTCCACAAAAGAGCTATTTGTAGATACTGTATTAAAATGTAACTGGCTCATCTTTGGTCCAGGGTGCCTTCCTCATCTACTGAGTCCAATAACATGTCCCTTACTAAGAACATGCAGAGTTCTACCAGTGAGTTGAGTGGCGACTTGGCAGCCAACATTCTTCATTTAGCCAAAGGGACTATGAATCATTTAAAGACTATGAAACACTGATATGAACATTATACTCAGCATGGTTCTCTTTTAGTAAGGACCCCCTTTCTGAAGCTCTGATATTCATCTAACCAGGAAAGTTATTAACTAGTAAACATGGGTGATACATACAATTTACAATCCTAGATTGCATTTGCTGGTGTTGACTGAGAAGGGAAATTGTTTGCGAAATACCCAAGGAGGCTGTTGAATCGGTTAGCATTACTGATTTATTCATAAAGGAGTTAATATGATACTTATTTTCCTAGTAGTTTATAGAATTTTGAATTTCACGGTCCAAAAATTTTTTTCCCAAGAATGGATACTTAGAAAGAAACTGTTTTTACTGTCGTTTCATAAAACACTGGACAAGAAAAGTACCTAGCATGTAGTCCAGCTAACTCAATAAATGTTAGTTGAACAAATGGATGAATGAATGAACAACAAAAAAGTTGTGATGATATAATTCCAGAAGGAAGCCTTTAAATAGAATGTGCTTAGTTATGGAAACAAAAACCCAAAATGCCTTGTCCTTAATGTTCCAATTACCCCCTGCCCCAGCAAACTCTTTTTCTTTTTTAAAAGACTTCATTTTTTTTAGAGAGAAGGAAAGGGAGGGAGAACGAGAGGGAGAGAAACATTGTTCCTACTCACCCCCACCAGCAGGGATTTGGCCCACAACCCAGGCATGGGCCCTGACCGGGAATCGGACTGGTGACCTTTCATTTGCAGGATGGCCCCCGAGCCACTTAGCCACATCCGTGAGGGCTCTGGCAAACTCCTCGGGACCTACCATTAGCCCACAGATTGGCTTGGGGGGAACTGCTGTACAGACTAGCAACTAAAAAGTTCAAAGTGAGCTGTATTCTGGACGCGCTGCTTATTCCTCCAGCCACCCACCATGATGATTCCTTCTAGCCGTTCACTGCACACCTTCAGTCTGGGGTTTGCGGATGCCCCAGTGGTCCAGACGCAGTCTGGACTGCCAAGCCGAGTGACCTAGCTGGGGAAGAGGTGCTTCCCTGCCATCAAATCCCACCCTCATATTAACCAACAATGTGGGTCACAGGAAGACTGCCTATGACTAAGTGTGCGAGTGGCAGAAAGAAAAAATAAAGATAAAAATTGTGGTACATTTACACAATGGAATTCTGTGCAGCAGAGAGAAAGAAGGAGCTACTACCCTTTGCAACAACATGGATGGAACTGGAAAGCATTATGTTGAGTGAAATAGGCCAGGCATTGAAAGACAAATACCATATGATCTCACCTTTAACAGGAAGCTAAATAACAAAATAAACAAGCAAATAGAATAAAAACAAAGACACTGAAATAGAGAACAAGTGGGCAATGACCAGAGGGGAGAGGGAAGGAAATTTAAGGGGGAAAAAGGGGAGGGATTTTGAGTAACAAGTATGAAAGACACAGGGATGAGGACTGGGGGGGAGGAAATGGGAGGGAGGTGGGGGGATGGGGCAGTGGGGGCTGAGATGGGAGAAATAGACAAAAAACTGTACTTGAAAAATAACTAAATAAAATTAAAAAAAAGAAGCTGAATAGATAAATGGAAGGAGTCTTTTAGGCAATCTGAATAGCATGTTCAAAGGCAATAAAGTATGTTTTTCACATTAAATAAATAAATAAATAAAGATAAATTCTATGGTGAACCTGGGAGTGAGTGTTAGATAACTTTTTATTCTAACTTTTGAGTCTTTTCCAATCTCTTGGGGCCTATGTTTCTAGGTAAACATATTTTTTTGGGGGGGGTTCAGAAGCCTTCATTGTGTGGCCTTGGGCAAGTTGCTAAACTAACTGAGGTTCAGTTTTTGCACTGTAAAATGAAAATAATAGTAATATCTACGCAACAGAGTTGTGAGGAAACTATAATATTTATAAAGTGTTTAGTACAGTGGCAAGCAGTGAGCTCCTAGCTTCCTTATTATGACTGTACTTCAGCAGAGTGGGCTAGACAAGGCAATCCGCGGGCACTCCAGCGTTCACGAAGCATTGTCGGGCTGAGGTGACAGTGCCCCTGCCACAGAAATCAGGGGAAAACTGCACCTGTGATCACCCGAGATGTGCTACAGGCAGATGGAAAGGATATCTGACTTGGTGTCCAGAGCTGGGTGCTAACAGTGCCTGTCCCAGTAACCAGCTGGCGTATTGTCCCAGACCCTGCAACTGTAAGACAGAGGAGGCCAAACCAGCCTTTCCACCCGAAGGAATCTTTGTTCTGTTGCCTCTTACCTTCTCACGCTTTGGATCTAATTATTGATTTAGGTTTTTCCTCTGTGCTGTCAAACAAGCTTCTTATACGTGTGCACTTATTTTCCAGTTAATGACAATTTTTGATGAATCCTGATTCACCCACAGGTGAATTGCTATAGCACTTTACATAGGATTTCCTTTAGACACTTGAAATTTCTGTCTTGTACTACAGGTACACATGAGCATGTCTTTCTCTGCTAGACTTTAAGCTTATTGAGAGCGAGAATATGTTGTATCACTAACTTCTCTTAGCATTTCTAGCTCGCACAAGAATGATGATTTATTTTTTACATGATTGGCCTCTAGGTGTTCTTAGTATAAATGATTGAGAAGGTGTCAATATTTTAGTACCGGAAAAAAAGGTGGAATATGTATCTCTCCATCAAGTTTGGTAATTGCCACCCCTGGTTTTTGTTCAACATAAGTACATGGGCAGATGGAAAGATATATAGTTCTATTTTATTTAAGGCAGGGAGCTCTTTTGTATTTTCCAGTTTTTAAAACGGAACATGTAAAATTTTGTGATTAGAAAGGTAAGATATTTCTATAGACTGGGACTGGATTTAAATGCACTAATAAACTCTACCCGCCCCCCCACTTCCATTTCATCCCCCACATTTAAGCTCTACCTGAAGAACATGGATGAGACACTCAGTCACAGGTGTACATTTATGAAGTGTTGCTGTTTGGCCACTTCATACAGAGCCCACTTCTCTTCATGTTTCTGTAAAGAACTGTTTTAGAAATTGATATTTTAAAATGCATTTAGAATGGTTTATTTGACACAACACCAAAAGCACAAGTGACAAAAGGAAAAATAAATTTAAAAAAGTAAAAATAGAGAAGTAGACATCACCAGGATTAAAAAACCTCTGTGCCTCAGAGGATGCCAGCAAGAAAGTGAAAAGACAGCTTACAGAATGGGAGAAAATATTTGGAAACAACTTACCCAAAAAAGGCTCGAATGTAAAATACATAAAGACCCTGGGTGGTGTGGCTCAGTGGATTGAGCGCTAGGCTGTGAACCAAAGGGTCCAAGTGCCAGAGCAGCCCCGCCCAGGCTCGCTCCCATTGCCTCTTCCATCCCCTGACTTCCCAGTGAGACGAAGCAGCACCCCCCCCCAGGTCTTCTGTTGCTTCTTTTATCCTAAGCCCTTCCTTGTTTCACTTCCCCAACATTTTCATTTGTTTTCTAAAAAGTAAATATACAGATAGGAGATAAATATATGAAAAGATTGCTCAACATCATATGTCGTTAGGGAACTTGCAAAAATCTGAATGATACATCACTACACACCTATTAGAATGGCCCAAATCCCAAACACTGATGACGCCAAATCTGGAGAGGAGGCAGGGCAGCAGGAACTCCACTCCTGTGGAAGAGGGGGGGCACAAAGTGGCACAGCCACATTGGAAGACAGTTTGGCAGTTTCTTGTAAAACTAAACAGACTCTTGCCATATGATCCTGCATTCATGCTCCTTGGTATTTGCCCAAAGTATTTGAAAACTTATGTTCACACCAAAGTCTGCACATGGATATTTATAGCAGCTTTATTTATATTTACAAAACTTGGAAGCAACCAAGATGTCCTTCAGTAGGTGAATTGGTAAATAAACCATGACACATCCCGGCGATAGTATATTATTCAGTGCTAAAAAGAAATGAGCTGTCAAGCCATGAAAAGACATGGAGGAACCTTAAAGGCATGTTACCAAGTAAAAGAAGCCAATATGAAAAGGCCTCTATAAAAGGTCGACTACATGAAATTCTGGAAAAGACAAAACTATGAAGACAATAAAAAGGTCAGTGGTTGCCCAAGTTAGGGAGGATAGAGTGATGAATAGGCAGGGCATGGGGGATTTTTTGGACAGTGATATTATTCTGCACGTAATACTATAACAGTAGACACATGTCATTCATCAGAATGTATTGAGTGTATGTATAACACCAAAGACGAGCCCCACTGTAAACTATGGACCCTGAGTGATGATGGTGTGTCAGTGTAGTTTCATCAGTTGTAACTAAGTGTAACAGTCTTGATACTCGACAGTAGGGGAGGTGGTGTGGCGGGGGGGCAGGGGCAGAAAGTGTATGAGGATTCTTTGTGCTTTCTGCTCACTTTTGCTGTGAACCTACAACTTCTTTAAAAAATAAAATCTATTAAATCCCTCTGAGGTGATTTCCACAGTGCAGATACCCCTCCCGATTTTTATCCACCACCCGTGGGTATGGCAACAGGCCCTTCCTTGTCTCCACCCCCCCCCCACCAGACTCCATGTGGCTTCTTCTTTATATTCATAGTTGTAGAACTTCTGTTCAGGAAGATTTCAGGTGGTTCTGAATGCTGCTTGTTGTGTAGCTTGTTTGTATTGAATATTTCTGACGCAGCTGTGGAGGGATGGGAATAGCACATTTACTGTCATCTTTTGGCCTCTGGTGGCTGGAGTTTTCTAGTTGCAGTGCTTGGTGGCCAGGACGCCAGATAGTCCTCATCTGTCAATTCTTCTCCCCAGTGTCCAACAAGCACCCGTTCGTGGACAGCAATCTTCTCTACCAGTTCAGAATGAACTTCCGGCGGAGGCGGAGGCTCATGGAGCTGCTCAATGAGAAGTCCCCCTCCCAGGAAACACATGACAGTCCCTTCTGCTTGAGGAAGCAGAGCCATGACAATCGGAAGTCTACCAGTTTCATGTCAGGTAGGCTGGTTCCACAATCCATTTGATTGCACGCTTTTGGTTTTTGACAGATAGTACAGTAAGAACTCCCCTTTGTGAAATTCTGTTCTCTGGCAAATTTTATTTATTCATAACCAAAAAGTATGCAGAAGAAAAAAAACCACAACCAGATTGTTCCCAAGGCGTCAAATCAGAGATCATGCAGTCTGTTAGAAAATTCTGCATTTGAATCATAGAAGACTTCCTAAGCTCTCACTCCTACCTCACTTATTTACTTTTCATTTATAAATAATTGTTATCATTGGTTATCCAGTGTTCTAAATCACAGCATTGAAAAGCTATATATTTTAAGGATAAAGACTTTTGAGGGTGTATGTAACTAAAAGGCAACTGAGGTCAACCCATTATGAAAGGGTGACATGGAACAAAGAGAAACTATGACAAGCAAATGCAGGGGCTCACAAGGCACAGTAGCCTGAACGTTACCTGTCGGGTCTGGCAGTCTCATCCTGACAATTGACCTTGACAGGGACAATGGTAACTGATGTTCCCCAAGACGACTGCACTCGTTCAGAGGAGGTAAACTCAATGTGTCACTCTGTGTAAGAGGCTGAGGTGCTTCAAGGGGCATCTTAGCTCCTCTGTAAACTTGGCATTGGCTGTGGTTGGCCTAAGGTCTGGAAGCTCTGGGCTAAACCTGAGGGCAAAGTGACCATGGGTGTCTTGGTTACATGCAGGAAGTGACGGTGAGAACACTCATGACTCTATTGAGAATTTCCTGTGCCCCGTCACTGAGTCAAGCTTGGCTGCATGAACTTTCTCATTTAATTCTCACAACTACTTGAAGAGGAAAGACTTTTTCTTCTGTGGAGAACATTCCTCTGCAGAAACTATTCAGATGATCCAGAAAGAAGACTTGGCACAAATGCCTCAAAGTCGCAATAAGATCAGGACCATGTTAACTGTGTTTTTCGATTGAGAAGGTGTTGCCCATCGCGTGTACACACCTCCAAGTCAAACAATAAGGAGTGCGACCTCGATGTTCTTTGTTGAGAGATGCAATATGCTGAAAATGGCCATAGCTGTGGGAAATGGGTGACTGACAGCTTCATCATGACAACGCACCCACTCACACATCACATCTTGTTTTTTGGTGAAATATCAATTGACCCAGGTGACTCAGGCCCCCTGCAGCCCAGATTTCCTGCCCTGTGACTTCTGGCTTTTCCCCAAAACTAAAATTACCTTTGAAAGGGAAGTGATTTCAGACTGTCAGTGAGATTCAGGAAAATATGACGGGGCAATTGATGGCGATTCCAGCAAAGGATTTTGTTGAGTGTTTTGAACAGTGGAAGGGATGCTGGTAGAACTATGTGAGGTCCCAAGGTGCCTACTTTGAAAGGGAGTGATACATCATTATCCTCTGTACAAAGTTTCTTGTGTCTTGTATCTTCTTCAATTAATACCTCAATTTTTCGTAGCACATGGTTGGATACTCTCTAGACAGACCTTGTACACCTGGCTCCCCTCCCCCTTGTGGAGAGCCAGCCAACTTGATGGCAGAAAGACCCAGATCAGATCACTGAAGCCTCTGACTCACATCCCTTCAAAGCCTATATATGTACTGTGTATTTTAATCTCCTTGTCCATTGCCCTGGGTGATTCATGATTTCATATGAAATCAGGTAACGCTTATTAATATTCTAATTCATTAAGTGTATAGCCAGCACTTAATTTACTTCCTACCAGGGACTGCTCAGCACAGGCTTAGTGGTTCTTGAAATAAGGTTTTATGTCACTGAATACTTGTACCTACACTATGGAATCCACTCCTTGCACCAATCCTGAGATGGCATTATTCCCACTGTACAGCTGGGAAAATTGAGGCTCCCAGAATGAAAGGGAATAGCCTCACATTGTGCAATTGGTGAGCGGCAGAGTTGCTACTCAAACCCTTGCTTTTCTAGCTCTGCAGTCAGACTCCTTTTTCTGGCACTGGTGACTTTCCTCACCAGGCCTCGCAGCTGAAAGCCCGCAGGCTCTAGGGGCCCTCGCACTCAGTGCCCCTGTGCTTTGCACCCGCAGTCAGCCCCAGCAAGGAGATCAAGATCGTGTCTGCGGTGAGGAGGAGCAGCATGAGCAGCTGTGGCAGCAGTGGCTACTTCAGCAGCAGCCCCACGCTCAGCAGCAGCCCCCCTGTGCTCTGCAACCCCAAGTCTGGTGAGTGGCCGAAACATAGCCCCCCTTTCTGACTGTGACCCTGGGGGACTTGGGCAGATGTGCAGGCTGGGTTTCCTGGGAAGCAGATTCTCAGACGGAGGGAGACCAGTGTGTGGGGATCTTATTACCACGTGTCCTTGGGGTCAAGACCTATTGACTGGAAGGGAGGGACGTGTGGGGTTGGCAGTGGAGGACTGAGCTGCAAGCAGTCTCAATGAAGGCCCCCAGGGGAGCTCCGGAGTTGGGATGGCCCTTCAGAGTAGTCCAGATTTGGAGCGAGGTGGCATGGCCTTTGTACCCTCGTGTCGAACAGTCATTAGGTGTTGGCTGTCCCTGGGAGGAGGGCGTGACCTTGAGCAGGAGAGAGAGTTGCAAAGACAGCTGAGGGCATGGGCAGTCTGAGAGCTGTCAGCCGTTAGCAGTCCCAGCAGCCGGTCAGTCCTGAAGCTGGGTCTCAGCAGAACGTCAGTTCTCCACACAGCAGGGGAAGTAGGATTTCCCAGCCTGCAGCTGAGGCAGACGTCTGTGGGGCCCCACACCCCTAAGGAAGAAGCATGGTCTACGTGAACCCAACTCTACCTGGAATTGACCCTTGGTGCCTGATGGCTTCACACTCTGCTCATCAACCTCTATGGCCTTTACACTCCAGAAAAAAATCTAGGCACAACGATTGTTGATGAACTTGAACTTAAGAAGCAATCCTTCTTTGACTTAGTTAGTCTTTCGGCTTCATAGGAACCTGTAACCCATTGGTCCTACCAACTTGTCACTGCCCTCTTGCTTTCTTTACCCTGCTTCATTGCCTCTTTTCCGTAGCTCTGTAAGTTAGGGTCAGGCTCACTTATGTCCACTAATATTGTCTGTCTCTACTACACTGGAGTATAAACTGTGAGGTGGGGGACCTTCCCCGCTTTCATTCACTGGTGGTCACATGTGAGCATTCGGTAAAATATCTGCTGAATGAATGAACGAGTGAATGAATGAATGGACAAGGACTCAGAAGGGGCCACCTTGACACTGTGTCTGCCTTACAGTGTTAAAGAGACCCGTCACTTCTGAGGAACTCCTGACGCCCGGAGCCCCGTATGCAAGGAAGACATTCACGGTAGGCTCGTTACTGGGTTTTTCTCCTGTGCTGCATGTCATTGTGTCCATGTGTATTTCACAGACGGACTTCAAGAATCTCTAAATTTTCCTTTTGTTTTGGCGTAATTATAATAGTGGACTTTCTTGACCCTTGGGCACTAGACTACTTTAGGATTTGACATGTATTATTAGTGTAGCATTTTAAACTCCTTTTGATGTGTCCTTAAAAACAATTTCTGTTGTGTACTTACTATAATATAATGACAGCTTTTAGGTCAAATGGTAGTACAAATACTGTCCACAATTTCTTCTGTGTTACAGTTAAGTCTAAACATTGTTAAGACATGAAGAGAGCCTTTAGGCAGAGAAAGAAAACTGGGATGCATTGTTCTCCCAGAAGGTGTAGTGCTTTTGACCGTGTTAGCAGGCCTTGAGTTATATAAGCAAGCACCTGATTGGTGGGGCGGGGCGCACCACACACCTGTGAGCACCTCCTGCCCCTTCTTGGAGGTCCTTCAGCCGTCCTCCCACGCCTACCAGCCCCCTGGGTTTCTTCAGACAGACTCCAAGTGCCCCGCTTGACAGCGCCTCACCCACCCTCCTTCCCCTGGCCTCTTTCTTCAGTCTTTTCACTTCTCCATCGACCTCCTGTTTCAAACACTTCTCCTCTTCTCTTATTTTATTGACTCAAGAAGAAAAAAAATCTTGGCACACTCATTCACACGACAGGCATTGGTCAAAGACCACTTCCCACTGTGAGCACTGACGGTGCCAGCCACAGCCAGTCTACGTGAAAACACACTGCTAACCCATCTGCCTCGGGGGGAAAGGTAAACTGTGCACTTGGAGGTGAATTTAGGTGTAAGGCACTAGTAACAGCAAACCCTAAAGCCAGTCAAGTGCCCGAAAGTCTTTTTGAGAATGTCCACAAAGTTTGCATTCATTTCCCTGCCTGTCCCTCAGTCTCCAGAATTCAAGAGACAGTTCATTGTATTTTTTGGTTTTCAATTTCAGTGCCAGTATTGCTAGGAATTGATCGTGAATGTGTTTCATCTGTATTTCAAAGACTGTCTGGCAGCTGGCCCGGACCGGAACTGCCGTTTCTAAGAATGATTCTACAGGAAAAGGCACCTTTAGTTGCAGACAAGTCTTGGACCAGCCTCTATGTGTAAATTGTGAACTTTGTGTAATTTTTCACTTTTTTGTTGGTAGAGAAAACTGTGTTTCAAGAAAGCCATGACTCTTCATATTTCTCACCGGTTAGTAATTTAAATAGTTACTTTAGACTTCAGCGAAGTGGCAGGATCATGAAGTATCAATGTATCATTTGAATTTAGGGGGAAAGAGCAAACTCAACAGAAATTGGATCTGGAGAGAAGGTTCCCACGTGTGTTTAAGGCCTTCTGCACTTAGCATTTGACTCTGATACTAAGTTGCAGAACAGCCCAAGAGGTCCTCTGCCAGTTATTTATTGAGTAGTGCCCTCACAGAAGGGGCTTCTTTCTGCTGCACAAGGGTTTCTTGACCACATTTCCCACAGAGAGATGCCTGTGTTTATGGTGGAAGCAAAGTGCCCCTTCTGCTCCCTGACAGCGCAGACACGAAGCAGAGAAGAGATGTGTCAGGGTGTGCACTTAATCCTGGGCTGGTGCTCTCTCTCTCCCTCTCTCTCTCTCTCTCTGGACAACAGGCAAACTGCCAGGGCCTGTCTGCGGATGGCTAATTGTGGTTTTCCTCTCCAGATCGTGGGTGACGCTGTCGGCTGGGGCTTCGTGGTGCGAGGAAGCAAGCCCTGCCACATCCAGGCTGTGGACCCCAGTGGCCCCGCAGCCGCGGCAGGAATGAAGGTACCTCTGACACAGCAGTGTCTGAAAACCTCTCGCTTTATTTTATCATTGGTGCCATCTACCCTTTCTCACCCTAAGTGTTCAGTCCCATTTGGTCAAGTTTCCTTTTCCCTTTCTGAATGGGGCTGAAATGGGGCCAAGAGCATACGACCCAGCAGTGAGGGCGAAAAGTTTTCCTGTCCCTCCAACGGAGCGTTCTTGGTCTCCAAACCTCCCTTGGTTTTTCACATCTCTTCCCTTCACCAACACTGAGCATGAAAAAAGAGTTTCTTTTGGCTCGAATCTTATATAGTAACTATACTGTTCTATACGAAGCATATCCCCATGGGGTTGGTGCAGCCAGCAGAGTGCGCCCGACCACAGAAGCAGTGAAGAGTGAGAAAAAGAACACACAAAATCTGGAATTTAAAAGAACTCGAGATTCGCATTCTGGTTGCGCTGGTCACTAGCTCACTGACTTTGAATGAGTTCCTAACATCTCAGAGCCTGTGTTGTCCTCTCTGGAACGATAACCACATTCTTCTGCAGCTCTAGGTGTTAAATGTGTAGAAACACTTGATGAAGTACAAAGAATGACACAAACATAGAAAAAAATGGAATGAATTGTGTGAGACTGGAAAAATAACTTTCGTGTATTTTTAATACTAAAGTAGTGTATACATAGTTGAGAAAATTTGGAAAAGACAGACAAGCAGAAAAGGAAAAGGTAATTGCTTGTAATCTTTCCTAACTCAGAGACAAGCACTGTTAACACATAAGCAGCTTTATTGAAGTGTAATTGACATACAGTAAAGTGTAGCATGGTTAGCATTTTAATTTACGTGCTTCCAAACTTCTTATATGAATGTATGCATATAAGAAGTATGCATATATGCATACTTCTTATATATATGCATATATATATGCTTATATATATGCATATATACACATATATATGCATATATGCATACTTATATATATGCACATATGAATGTATGCATATATATACATGAATGTATATATATGTGTATGTGTATGTACACAAACATGTACTATACATCTTTACACACACACAAATTGCTTTTATTTATGCCAAAATGTGATACAAGAGGATGTTGACCGCATTCATTTTCTGCTCCAAAACACTTTTTGTCTAGCATAGTTTTTTTTCTTTTTTCTGTCATCTGTAAGACATTCCACGGAGGACATTTATCTCATGCTTATCTGGGACCACAGAGGGATTCAGAAGGCTTGAAGGCTGCAGATTCTTCCCCAGTGCATGTCTTCACTATTTTTATCCTCCACCATCAACCCTTTTCCTAGAGCACCAGGCGTGACTTGGGTCTGCACAGCTCTGATTTCCAGCACCTTCCCTCTGGCATTGCTGTATTTACTGGAACAGAGAGGCAAGAGCAGAACTGCCTCATGGGAGAGCAGAGCACAGGTTACCGTCGGTCTGGGGGATGAATGCTGGTGTGATTCGAGGTGACTCTGCACCCCTCCACACACCCCGAGTCAAACACCTCCTTCATACACGGAGGCCTCGTTTCCCCAGGTCCTGCGCTCTGGGCAACTTCCAGAAGCCTTGTTGGCCAAGGTGGTCTGTCTCAGAGGCTCTTCCTACGTCCTGGGCTCTGCCATGGGCTCAGCACCAAAGGAACCCAGAGCAGGAAAGTTGGCCAGGAGCATCCGGGGGTTTGTATCTGTGCCGATGCTGATTTCTTCATTTTCTAATGGAACTCTTGGCTGTGGGAAGAGTTTTCTGTTTTATTTCCATGGTAAAGTACCTAGGATAAGTGATTTTGGCTGAGTGCATTAGTCCTGAGCATGCACTCGCTTGCCGTGGGGCCTTGATTTAGGCTTGTTTCCTTTGGGGGAAAGCAAGGGATTGATATTGCAGCTACAGACCTTGTTTTGCTTGGTCAATGTATTACATTGATTTTAGTGCATCCTTATTGACTTAATAAGTTAATTAACTTATTAACTAAATCAATAAGTTAATCCTGATTAATTAACACATATACCTGATTTGGGCATTGTCAACTGATCCATTAGTTAACTCCTTAAGGTAACGTACTCTGATAGGTGGGTAACCTGGCATAATTTTTTCCAACTGCATAACCTCATGTTTCGTGTGGTTTGTATCCTTAGTTTCCCAGGGTGTGCACGCACGGTAGTTTTCATATGTCGTAGAGCAGCGCAGAATTCACGAGAGCCGTGTTTCCAAAACTGCCGCTCAGCGCTCTGGTCCCACAGAATATCCCATCCTGAGGTTCTGTGATCAAAACGGTTTTAAGCTACTGTACACTTTACTTTTCTCTTGGAAATTCAGAGAGTCCATTAGCATATTATGAATTTGGTTATATCCCGCAGAGAAAAAACTGTTTATATTGCCCATCACAACATCTTATCATTTAATAGAAACACACCAGTGGCATCTTAAGGTCGTTAAGACACAGCACCCTATGTAACTGTTCTAAGGACCTGCTCTTGGTTGAACTCTGTATTGGAATGAATAGATAGGTCGAGACATGGGTACGATTTTGAATTGTACTATTGGTTAAGTCAAAATGACAGGGAATATCATGCCCTTCTATGGACGTAACCTGTGTGTATTCATTCAAGGTGCCCAGTACATTATATTCTCATAGAAAACACAGAACAAAGTATTTCCAGTTTTGCCACACGTGTTGGTTATAGAGTAACTCCATTCACATGAAAAGCCATGTGTATAATCCGATACTAGAGGTGGCTTCCAGTGACCTCCCACTCCCACACGGCCTTGCGTGGAACACTGCAGGGTGGTGCGTGTGGTTGTGGTGGGTGGGGACATGGGCGCCGGCCCTAAGGAGTGTGCCCTGACCCGCCAGTGATTGAGCTGCTTGGTCTGGCTGCTAGTAATTGTCCAAAATTCTGGCCAGAGGCTTCCTCTTAGCACCTCTGACTGGCAAGAGTTGGCCCGGGGTAGTGCCAGGGGCCCCACTTCGCCTTTGCCGCTCTCTGTGCTGCATGCTGAGGCCGTGGCCCCGGCTGTCTCATGCTTCCCGGCGGCAGAGCCTGCGGGTGGCCCTTGGGGGCCTCGGCCTTCAGCAGAGTTTTTATACTTTCCCCGTGGCTGCGTCACTTCTCTGCTTTCTCATGTGCACCATTTCTCTCTCTTTATTCCACCTATTTACGGGGGTGGGGGAGTTTTAAGATGTGGGCCACCAGTATGTGGAGAGCACAGGCCTCAGACTGAGGAGACGAGGTGCCATTTCCCCCTGTGAACACTTCTAGGCCTTTCTATGCCCAAAGGAGAGCTCTGTGCCTGGTTGAAATGGATCCCTTAGCCTGTGAGGAGGGGAGACCCTCAGGTACCTGTTGAAATTTAGGTCTGTAGAAAGGCTAGAAGAACTCTACAGAAAATGGGTCTTTAAGGAGAGTGATAAGGTATATCACAATTCTTTTCTGGACTGGACTAGAGAAATCTGTGACCTTTGTGCCCAGACCATCTGACCCCCATGCACCCAGCACAGTTCGTGCCTGCGGCCTCCACACAGCTGACCTAGGCTTGCGGGGGCCGGGCGGGCAGCTGAGCCGCAGGACGGGCTTGCTGAGATGCGGGCGGCTGTGGAGAGCAGGGACGGTTCCAACCTGACGTCAGTTGTCAGTGGAATTGAGTGTAGGTGTTTTGATCAAATACTAGACTTTTGCACTGTTTCAAGCTTGTGTGAAAATTGTGCCTTCACTGTTTTTCCTCTTTCCTTCGATGACTTTTCCTCTTCATCAGTTAGGAGAGTATTTGTTCCGAGAGACCAAAAAGGAGGCCGATGTCACAAGAGGCTCCAAATTATAACCTGATCTTTACTAGTGTCTGAATCCAGACCCACATAAAAGAGAGAGCAATTGATTCATTACAGCTTTTTAAAACAAGTTAATGTATCGTTTCATAATCCTGTCCTCCCCTCCCATGCTCATAAAACAACGGCTGTCATTGAAATTCTCATCATCTTGAGCCATCATCTTTGGATTTGGAGTCATTCTTATTGAATGACTTTTACTTTAAGGTTCTTTTACTTTAAAAAATGATGAACTGTATAAACCTCCAGTATAGAGACACCTCACTGGTGTCACAACTAGAATGCAGAAGGCAACATGGGAAGAACCAAAAGTTGAGTCAGCCCATGCAGTGTATTTGTATCTAGAAGAGGGTGGTTCTCTCTGGCAGGTCTCCACCCATCCTTTAGGAATTGTAGCCCAGTAGCTTCTGGTCCAGGGAGGCGAGAGGAGAAGGAACTAGACTGTATTGAGTGTCTTCTGCTTGCCTCACTCTGCATCGTGCCGGGCCCTTTCCTTACATGAATTCATTTAATGTCAGCATCTAAACACTGAAATCTTGGGGGAAGAAACCTGTTTCAGAAGGTGGAATTCTATTGCTTACCTTCTTTCTGCTTTGAAAGGGAAAAAATTTCTTCCAAAGATGTTCCACAGGCTACAGTTTAATGACTGTCACTAAAACATGGCTTTGTATCACACTCTTTAACAACATCTACTATTCTTTCTTTTTTTAAAAAAAATTGCATTCATTCTAAACCCGTTTCTGGACCACATTACCCTAACTTTATTTTACATGACCTTCCAGTAGCTATTCTTCTGTTTAATGGAGGCAGATTTTTTTTTTAATTTCACAAATAGATCATCGGGCCTCTGTCTGCCCCTCAAGCAAGTCTAATTGAGTGACTCTGGCACTTAAAATCCTCTAATAGCTTCTATTTACAATAAGTTCCAGACTCTTTCTATGGCCTACAGAGTCCTGGATCTGGGCGCTGGCGGCCATTACCTTATCCACTGCCCTGTTTTGCTTCTAGGACCGTGGGCCTTGTCCCCTGAGGCTGGACAACTGGCCCTATTGTTGTGATTCAAGTCTCAGATTACTCATCAATTTTTCAGGGAAGCCTTCCTTAAATACCCTTTGATGTTCTCCCCATCTTCCTCCAGGGACTCTTTATCATAAGCCCATTTGATTTTTTTAAAAGCCTACT